TTGGTTTTGGTTTCCTTGGTTTCTGAATATGACCTCGTTAGTTATATCGTAACACATAAACACACAGATTATATATATATATATATGTGTGTGTGTGTGTATGGCGGTAATACCGCATACCGCCACTCAAAATTACCGCAAGGGAAATTCCCTCACCGCGACAGCCCTACTATGAAGTACATGTATGTAATTAATATAATGTTAAACATTCAATATTCACGCCTGTATAGCTGTGCGTGAGCCGATAAGCAGAGCACGCTGAATGGATTGAGCGCGCGGTAGGGCAGATGCGTGAGCTTTGAGCGAATATCCCTTTCTCATAGACATCACTGGAAACTAAAGATTGTTATTCAGTCGGATATGTCAAAAGCAAATAAGTAAAACAATGCACAAGTTACTTAAGTTACTTGATGGTAAGGAGAGAGAGAGAGAGGGAGAGCGAGAGAGAGAGAGAGAGAGAAAGAGAGAGATAGAGAGAGCATGGGCACTTCTGCTGCATGATGATTGATCAAGTTGCATCTTGATTGCTGTTCGCTCACTTAGCACACAGATCATCTGGATTAAAACTAAATTGTAAATATAAAACATACAAAAATTATAGGTGCATTCACTATAAGCAACATTTATTTTAAACCTCAAGCATACACGTCTCTACTTAAAGCGAAAGTGAAACTAACAGCCTGTACGTGTCTCTCTCATTCATGCAATTGCGCATGTTTTGCTTGCTTGATAAGATTAATAGCTTAATTTTCCTTAATAGCATTAAATGAGTGGCTTTGGAATATAAGTCTCAGCACGTTTCAATAAAAAAAAAAACGAGACTTATATTTCAGAAAATATGTTCATTGCTGTTACAAGATTTATGTATAACGAATGGTTCCTTGCACTGATGTGCTATTAAATTAAAGATTAAATACGATAAAGTAATAAAATGAACAGTGAAAGTAACAAAAGCTAGTACAATACATTTTAATGGGCATAATTAATTTAATGGGCATAATTGTGAAAATAACTGAAGGAAATATCTATTTGCTAAATGAACAAAGCCAACTAACATTATTCATATTCTTTTGGTTTCTGTACCCAGTATTTTTTTTAATTACAAATGGCATGAAAATACAGGTATCGGTACTCTGTATCGGCAAATACCAAAAATAAAAGTATCAGTATTGGCCTTGTTTTGAAAAAGGTGGTATCGGTGCATCCCTAGTAATAATACTTTTATTTTTATTTTTTATCAAGTACGTATCAAGTACTAAAAGCACTTAAAGGGGTCATATGATGCTGCTAAAAAGAACATTATTTTGTGTATTTGGTCATACTGATGTCACAATTTTTTTTGCTAATAACTATTTTATCTACAGTGTAAGTTTAATACACAATTTATTCATATTCACTCCTTAAAGGCTTTGTAAATATTGACAATTATATTTAAAATGTTTATTATATACAATATTAAAAATATACAAATATGTAAAAAAAAATTAAATTGTGACTGTGCACAAAACATATGGTTATCTCAAATATTTAATATTGAAAATTAAAAACATAGAAATATTATAAAATTAAAATTACTGTGCAAAAATGTGTGGATTTCTCAAATATTTAATTTATTAAAAAATTAAAATATTATGAAATATTTTAATTATTGTGACTGCACAAAATGTGCGGTTATCTCCAATGTTTAATATTAAATATTAAAAATACAGAGATATTATAAAATATTTAAATTACTACATTTTAAGATTATAATTATAATGTACTGGCATCTAATACTGACATTTGATATTGTGACAACTATACAAACAGTTCCAAATAAAGACTAAATGCAGTGAAGGCTACATCTGTATTCGAGGCTCTTCGGCAATTTGCACTTTTGTAATCTTGTGGAGAGCTAAAAAAAAAAAGATGTCAAGAGCTGAAGTGGCCTACCCTGTCTTTTAATTCACCTGAGTGCATTAGATGAGTAATTCCACCCTACCTCCTGGTATCCACTCTGAGCAGCGTGATGCAGGGGCGCTCTGCCTGTGCGGTCGGCCATATTCAGGCTGGTCACATGGGCCAGCAGGGCCTCGACGCAACGCATGGCTCGGTTGGCCGCCGCAATGTGCAGTGGTGTCTGCCAGAATTTATCCCGCACCGTAACGTCAGCTCCCTTCCTTAGCAGCAGCCCCACAGCCCTCTGGGTAAAAAAAAACAACAAAAAAAACAAAATGCATGAATCATATTAAATTGCTAAAAATGCTAAACAATGGCATGAGTAAGCTGTTACTAAGACCGAGCCTCCACTCAGGCATATAAATCACACAGGCTGCTTACCTCATTTCTGGAAGCAGCTGCTCTGTGCAATGGTGTTAGCCACACATGGTCCTTTGCATTGACATTGGCACCTATGCAATTAGGTGAACCAAAAAAAAGGAAGAAAAACAGATTTAAAGTTAATAAATGACTAATACTTAAGCAATAAAGTAAAACATGCCATTCTACATTGTGAATTCATTCGTGGCTAAAGGGTGTGGCATGACTGTCATATATAAGCATTATGGTGTGAGAGGCTCTGCTTTATGGTGTATAGCTCTGCTGCGTAGCTATACACCATAAAGCAGAGCCTCTCACACCATAATGCTTATATATGACAGTTAATAAATAATAAAACACTTAGTAAATTAATCTAGGGTGAAGTGTGTAATTTCTGCACCATTAGCGTCAGCAAATTGTATAAATAATGATTATTATCAAACGGGTCCAATTCACGCCCTTGGTTGAGCCAAAGTAAAAATGTAATTCTAAACATTCTTTTTTTCCCAGCAGACATTCTACTGAGAACTTAGCACTGTAGTCACTACATATTTGCTTGCGTATCCTCTAAAACTAAACGGAACTGGATTTGGTTCATTAGATGAGATGTTAAAGTAACTCGGGCAAAAAGGAAACAGCTTGAGGTTTTGTACACAGTTGGCAGCTGCTGTGTAGTGTTATATTGACCAGTGGTGCCTAAACCTTTTTTGGTCAACCAAATCTCTTAGACATAAAACATTTACTTGCAGTACTGCCTAAAATAAATGTACAAAATAAATACATAAGTTAATATTTCAATATCTTTGACTAGGGATGCACCGATACCACTTTTTCCAGTACTCGCCCGATACCGATACTTTTATTTTTGGTACTTGCCGATACCGATGCCGATACCTATATTTTTATTACATTTGTAAATTTTTTAAATATTGGGTACAGAAACCAAAAGGGTATGTATAATGTTAGTTGGTTAACTTCATTTATCAAATAGATACAGTCAAACCAAAATATATTCAGACACCTTCAACATTGCATACATATACTTCGTAGTAGACATCCATAACTCCTTTCTGCTGTCTGTTGTCAGTGTTTCTTTGTTTAAATATGGCGCTTATCACATGCTGTGTGGTATCGGCGTTTGGTATCGGGGCATTTTAACGAGTACGAGTACGAGTACAGGAGGCCAGTATCGGGCCCGATACCGATACCAGTATCGGTATCGGTGCATCCCTATCTTTGACACATGAGAACATTCACAGTTCTCTAATGTCAGTTAATGGTCACATGACAAGTAAACAAATGTAAATGTTTTGATTGTTTCATTTTAAAATTGGGCTGCACAAAAAATATATATATTGTGATTATTCTGTCATTTATTGCAATATCAATATCTGTCACTCATTGCATATGAAAATTTCTACTGCCAAGACATCCAGACACAAAGAATAAAGACTCTACTGGTAACGAAAAATTAAAAGTTACAACACAAACATTAATGTCTTAAATTCTTCACTTTCAAACGGTCAAATCATAAAGCTTTTAAAATGTCAAATCCATTTATTTTATATTAGTGAAATGCTGTAAACGTCTAATACGAATACAAATAAACTGTACATTGGTTCCCAATTATACATTAGTGCATAGATGGAGTTTGTGTGAAGCAGCATTTCCTGAAACAACAGTATTATAAGTTGCATGTGTGAATGTAAATGATCACGGTGCCATTCTTCACTCTGAAACACGCAGTGCAACAGACTATTTAACTTGTTTCATTAAATATGAGCCTTTGATTTGATAATTGCGATTTGATAAGACCATTATTTCAGTTTTACTTTGATTAATTGTGCTGCCTGTTTGTTTATTTTAATGCTACATTTGATTTAGTTAATTATTAGCTTTTCATTAACTCTTGAACCCCCATTTGGGAAACCCTGATATAAACCGTATTTAGACGAACGGGTGTGACATGCCATAAATGCTACTATTTTGTGCATTTTCACAAGGCTTTAATGCTGTATTGACCAATCAGCTTTTGATACTGGAACTATCTGTTTTATAAATAAAAACATAACAGCATGTGGTGGCAGCACTGCTGTTTAACTTCATACCTGCGCTGATGAGAAGCTCCATTATATGAACGTCCCCCAGCCAGGCAGCAGCATGAAGAGGTGTGCGGCGCTCTTGGTCCTGACACAAGAAAGTAGAAAAAAAGATTTTGATTTTTTCATGATTTTTTAAATTTCCTTTCCACACTGGCCCACACAGCTCATATGTACAGTCACCCGGACAATCTGTCCATAGTTATGACATCGCATATGCAGATGAGACACATAATTCATGCTCACACTAAAATAAACCATTCAGAACATACCAGTGCATTGACTTCATCTTTCTTGTGCAAAAATAACTTCACTTCATCCGCATTTCGGTTAAATATGGCCTGGACCAGAGGTGGCTGAAGGAGGAAAAAAAAAAAAGGGTGGATGTTATGATACTGTTATGAAACATGACAACAAATTCAAAACTTTTGCTCGAGCAGCTTCTGATTACAGTGCATAACTTTAAGTGTCAATTATGAGGTGTATAACTGTATGATTATAATCAAATATAATGATCGTTGAGTATCAGAAGAGAGCTGCAACAAAACACACTGCAATTGTTATTGTTATATAAAGACATTACTTAACAAAAGCATGAGTATTTGTTAAATAGGTTAATAAACGTGTGCGTTTTAAAAACAAAAACACACAACAGATGTTTTCCTATGCGGCTGGCTGACACCCAGCTCATTAGGCTAGCAGGCTGGCTAACGTCTGGGCGTGCTAAAAGGGTTATTTTTCAATTTTAACTCCTCTTTGGTAGCCCTACCCTTATTATACAGTAAATACATGAGGTGTACAGCTAAATGCATGACAAAACCCAAGTTTTGATGCGAGAACTATGGGGGAAATAGGATAATCCATCGTCAGGGAGCTAGCTAGCATTTCAGGCTCTGCATACAAGCGCAGAGAGCGAACAACAAAACTGCTTGATTTACGCCACTCGTGGGGTTTTAATAGCTCTCACCTGGTCTGAAATATTGTGTACCCCCATCTCCCTGTGTCAGTCGGGCCGAAAGTCCCTCATCGGTAAGGAATCAAGGCTGGGAAACCAAGACAACAATCTAGCGTTGCGATTATAGACGTAATGAGTGTGTCTTTAGCTGGTGAGGCAGTTGAAAATAGCGACACCAGCGTGATGGCCGCCTGCTGCACCAACTTTCAGAATAAATGCCCGTGAACTAAACCTTGCACTCGAAAACGGGTTTTCAAACTTTAAGGGGACCCAAATGCGTTCTCCGCTAGCAAGGGAGCCCCTTATGATTTATAAAGTATATTAAATATAAAGTTACTTATATATTTCTTGAATAGCGTTCCATTTTGAATACCAGCTTGATATTACAGGCTACTATCTGAAAAATATTTACTGTGTTTTAATATTAAGCATATTTTTATACAGACTTTTAGAGTACACTTAAGGCATATTTACAAGAGGTTGTGTCAAGACATATTGCCACATTAAAACCAGACTAAACCTGCTTTGACCCACCTCAGCCCCTAGTATAAAGGTATACAGGTAAAATTGCTGTGCAAATGCATTTACGCCACCTCTGAACAGCATTAAACACTTTGTTTAAAGATAGCAGTGTAAATTTGGCAATCTGATTCAGTGCAACTTTACAAAACTATGCACGTTTTTTAATACTGTTTAAAACTATGGCTGAAAATACATAATAATGAAATATAGTATATAATGAAATATAGTTACAATTAATATCATGATTTCTAGTCTTTACAAAGCAGAATGAAACACTAAATAATATAAATGTATGTAAATGTGAATTTTTTTTACTTTTTAAAGTAGCTCTTAATGATAACTAAACAAAATTATATTTAATAATTAATGCATGTAAAAGTCCAAGAGTTTATACAGTAGATGTTCTATACTGAAGGGTGGTTTTACTGTTTTCCTTTTTGATCCAACAGGACGAGAATCCTTCTGTAAGAAAGTGTCTGGCATTTTAATTAGGCCATGGTTTGGTTTGGTTTTTCATAACGTAGTTCATGTGTATAGCGCCCTCTTCTGTTCAAACCAATATTAATAAATTAGCAAATCTTTCTCAATTACTGTAAATCATTTTAGAATATTTCACATAAACAGTTTCTTAATCAGGCTTTTTAAACATGAATGGAGGAGAAACGCTTACCACGTGTTGTGGTTCAAGCAGGCCCGGCTCCAGAATCAAATCACTGAGTGCTTCTTAAATTAGTGAGGGTGCTCTCTCGATATATCTCATATATGTGTGCCATCCATTGCAATGGCGCAAGCGCTTTCCCTTTATAATCACTAAAAGCTGTCACTCATATTAGTTCATCGCAATCTCACAAAGTTACGTTATAATCAATGAAGTTCTCTATGCTGAATCTCTTATTTACATAGCGTCTACACTTTGTTATAATGAGATGATTCGTGCTGAACGCAACACAGAACAAAAACTGTGGCGATTTGAGCGGTGAGTGGATTCTAACTTAAATGCCTCTGATTGGCTGTTGGATTAAAGAAATCAACAGATATGTCTGTGATTGGATACATTGCTCAACGCTGCAAAAGATGTTGAAATAGAAACCAATCTCCAGAGAGCAAACCATAAAGCACTGGATAGTTTGCCAAATCTGCAATGAAATGCCATTATTACAGCATTAACCGAGGGTGCTATTAATTTCGTTTGAGGGTGCTTAGCACCCTCTAGCACCCCCAAAGAACCGGGCCTGGGTTCAAGTCAAAGGCATCCAGACAACAATTTCTGCAATATTTTGAAGCAGTTTATATCTGCATAAATTCGATTTTTTTTTCTTCTCAATTTTAAGAGTGCAATATGTCCCATAAATGACGTTAAAGATAACACACAAAATTATAATCTTTATATTTCAATGTTTTTTCCCACTCCATAGGTCTGCGAGGTTTTTTGACTTTTATTTTGGAAACGCGCAGAAAACAACAACCTTCCGGTGGCCCTGTTGGAAATTTTGATAGGGTTGCCATTTTCACCAAATATTTAAACGTCCAATACAGTTATTAGGGAATGCAGAGCGCACAATGAGTTTATTTGCGAGTGCTAAACACCAGAGGAAAAAACACTAAAGTTCAAAAATGGCAGACTCTGTAGTGATGGGGAGCGGATCTTTAAACTCCGGAAGTGTAAATATCTCCTTTCATTTTTATTGTCTACAGTCTGCTAGCTTAGCCAAACACTAATTTATGGGTTTGGGTTTGTTTAAATATAAGGCACATTTAAGGGAAGAACTGTCATATATTTAAAAGTAGACGCTGTTTTATATCCAAACACACCGGTCTTTTTTTATTATGTTATGCGTAAATATATAATAGCCCTTGCAATAAATGTAGTGAGGCTGTCTAGAAACAGTTCAGTGTCTGTCAGCATAAAGTCTCAAACCAAATCTTCCTTACCTGAACACTATTTTCTGGCCATCATATGGCCAGACATGCTGTTGGAACACGCTTATGATGCCCAAAAGTCGGCAGCCACCACTATTTCTGAAAAGGTCTTAGCTGATTTTAACAGGTCTCCCAGTCTGACCAGGCTGGAAGACCAGCAAAACATCTTATACTAGTTTAAACTTTTTGATTAGAACCATAAGTAGCAGCAACCAAAACTTGGTTTTGAGAGAGTCAAACATTTGCAATTGGACATCTTGATCTTTAATACTCTGTTCTTTTGATTAATAATTGCAGCGCTCGGGGAGCAGTAAGACCAGCACAAGTCCTACAGAGAACTATCAGCTGGCTCGGAGACGCACGCTGCAGGTGGTGGTCAGCTCTCTGCTGACGGAGTGTGGCTTCGAGAGCGCTGAGAAAGTGGCGGTGGAGACACTCACTGAGATGATGCAGAGCTGTGAGTCCTTCCCTTATCTCATGCAAGACACCTGTGAGGCTTGTCCAAAAAAAAAAATTTATATATATATTTTATGTGTTTTAGAATGAACACAAGTTTATTGTATGTGTTTTTCAATATTAAGAGTCTCATTATCTTTTGATAGATATAACTGAGGTTGGACGTTGTGCGAAAGCAACCTGTGAGCACACAGCTAGAAGCACCCCTACACTCTCTGATGTGGTCGTCACACTGGTCGAAATGGGTTGGTTGCCCTTTGATCAATATATTTAATCTTAGGAAGTATAAAAGATTCCACTTCTCTATGTGGTTGAATCATGTCCATATGTTAATAAGATTTTAACTAATACTAAGGTTTACTTTTTCCACAATCGCAGGTTTTAATGTGGATACTCTTCCTGTGTACGCCAAAAGATCCCAAAGGATGGTCATAACTGCACGTAGGTTTACCATATTTCACTAATATATCTATTTATCTTATATTATCTGTTATAATTGTTCCTGTTTAAATATACTCTTCTGTATTTAACAGCTCCAGTAACAAATGCTCCAGTCATCCCAAAAGCCCTCATGGCCGGACAGAAGCGCACTCATCCAACATACATCCCCAGCCACTTCCCTGAATTCCCAGATCCTCATACATACATCAAAACACCAGTGAGTTATGTTGCTCACCTGATGCCTTGCTGTTGTGTGACTTTCAACTTAACAACCAATAACATTAAGAGCATACATTCTGCTTCAAAACATATCTCACATTTCTGTGTTTTAGACCTTTCGAGAGCCTGTGTCAGAGTACCAGGTGGTGAGAGAGAAGGCGGCATCACAAAGGAGAGATGTGGAGCGCGCACTCACACGCTTCATGGCCAAGACAGGAGAGACGCAAAGCCTTTTTAAGGATGACATCAGTGCATTCCCTTGTGAGTTTTTCTGTCCCAAATACTGCCAGTGTCTTATTATACTTTGACTGCCCTTTTGACTTCCTAGTGTTTATTCATCTGTCTGTGTGTAATAAGTAATCTCATCAAAGCCGAGCGCCATCCCTTACCTCAGCACCCTGCTGCCCTCTGAACTAGAGCTTCAGTCATTGGAGGAGACAGATTCATCTGAGCAGGATGACCAGACAGACTCGGAGAACAACCCCAGTAACATCATACAGGCAAGCATGAAGCATTTTTTCGTGTCAACATTTTTATGGAAGAACATACATGCTTGTCTGTTATTTTTTATTTATTCATTAATTTTTTTAGTTTATAAAGTTATATATATATATATATATATATATAGGTGCATCTCAATAAATTAACATACATCAGGCATAACATTATGACCACTGACAGGTGAAGTGAATAACACTGATAATCTCTTCATCAAGGCACCTGTTAGTGGGTGGGATATATTAGGCAGCAAGTGACCATTTTGTCCTCAAAGTTGATGTGTTAGAATCAGGAAAAATGGGCAAACGTAAGGATTTGAGCGAGTTTGACAAGGGCCAAATTGTGATGGCTAGACGACTGGGTCTCTTGTGAGGTGTGTTCCCAGTCTGCAGTGGTCAGTATCTATCAAAAGTGGTCCAAGGAAGGAAC